ATAATTACACCTCAACACTCAACAACCTAACCTAACCTCTTAGGGAAGTCCTTATCCATGCTCACTCACTCATAGCAAGACATGTATATTACGCATGTTACAACATATCATTCGTTTTCAATAAGACTCGATGGCTCGTGATTTAAGATTAGTAACTTAAAATAGAGTATGTTTATATAAAAACGAATTTTATAGTTGATTATTTAACTTTTCAATTACGTTATCGCTCGTAAGTCGTAACTTGACAATTGTATTTAGAATTCATACCGAAAAATGCATTGTGGTGGATACTTTAGGTGTTCTCTTTCTTAAAAATATAAACAACGTAACCCCCAAAATGCTGATGACAATTATCCATTTTCTAAAATCTCAATAGGCCAAATTAGACGATATCACGATAATCACCAATTATAACAGAAAGCGACAAATTCCCATCCAAAAAGCCCTTTTATTTTCAAGTTTAGGGGTCGTTTGCTTGTGGGATTTGGGTGATGGATTTGGAACCCAAATCCCAAGTATCATGGAGTTGACACAAATCCTTTGTTTGTTGATGGACACAAATCCGTGGGGTCCACGGATTTGGACCCCTTTTTTTATCCAAATCTGTGGACCCCACGGATTTGTAAATCCCATATTTCATTTGGGATTTGACAATAGAAGGAAAAAATGTGAGACAAATCCATTACAAATTCATGATAAAAAATCAACTAAACAAACAACGTACTCTTCCAAATCCATGATGCAACAAATCCATCATAAATTCAAAGGTTTTTAAAACTCAAAACCTTCATTTTCAAATCCAACAAGCAAACGAGCCTCCTAATGTAATTTTTGACTACTTCTTCAAATCCTCGTAGAGCCGCTTGTTACCTCTCTCTCCCCTCCTACCAAACCCTTTTCTTTCTGCGCCTCTCTTTTTTTCGCGTCCGATTGTTGTTGTTTTCCTCCCATTTCCTCCGGCCACCGTCTCTCCTCCGTCGCTGAAATGGCTGCGTCTTCCACCCTCTGCCCTAAGCTTTCCGCATCCGCCGCAGGCGGCTTTGCGTCTTCCTTCAACTGCCGCTCCGATCCTTCCGGAAACCACCACCAGACGGGACCCGGCCGATTCTCCTCCTCCTCACGAGTCAACTCTGTCGGTGTTCATGGATCTTTCCTCGCGGGCGGTGGCGGCTACGGGATGTCGTCGTCTCTCATCCTGAGGTTCCCTCCCAATTTCGTCCGCCAGCTCAGCAACAAGGCTCGCCGGAACTGCAGCAACATCGGCGTCGCGCAAATTGTCGCGGCAAAGTGGTCTGACAACTCATCCACCGGTTCCGCGGCTGCGGCTGCGAACGCAGCCGCCGCCGCCTCTCCCGCAGTCCCTGCTGTCGAGGAGTCGATCGAGCTGATCGCCGGTGCCAATGGACCGGTGGTTGATGGGCTCGATGGGAAAGGAGATGTACAGGATTTGACTAACAAGTTAACGTATTGTTCGTTTTTGAGCTCCGATGGAAGCATCGCAGTTCATGCTGGTACGTTCCCCTCGCAACTGAATGTTCCCTCATTTCGCCGTTTTTCCCCTTGTGTTGTTGTGGCTCGATCTGTTTGGCTGAGCTTTTGCTGTTTGGACTTTCCGGCAGGTGAAAGATTGGGACGCGGCATTGTTACTGATGCAATTACAACTCCAGTGGTTAATACTTCAGCCTACTTCTTCAAGAAAACTGCAGAGCTTATTGATTTCAAGGTTTTGTGGTTGTGATCTTTAAATGTGATGACTCCTAAGAAAGGATCCAGGTGTTATTATGTTGCTGATTAGGATCTTCTTTTGCAGGAGAAGCGCCATGTGAGCTTTGAGTATGGTCGCTATGGAAATCCAACCACCGCAGTTGTGGAGGAGAAGATAAGGTCACTTGAGCTTCTCGTTTAAGCCTATCTTCCATCTCATGCATGTTATATCTCTATCTGCTGAATTTACAATCTGGGTTTTACTGATCTTCTCGGTATTGGTTTTCATCTTGATGTAGTGCTCTTGAAGGAGCTGAGTCAACTTTGATCATGGCATCTGGGATGTGTGCTAGTACTGTCTTGTTAATGGCCCTGGTTCCAGCTGGTGGACATCTCGTGACAACCACTGATTGTTATAGGAAGACCAGGATCTTCATCGAGACTATGCTGCCTAAGATGGGAATCACGGTACCTATTCATACTTTGCTTGCAGCTCATACAGGCAAATACTTGGCTGGGCTGTAAATCCTCTGTAATAATCATTGTTTTATGCTGTGATAGTACCAAATCTAGTTCTTGATTGCTCAGAGAAACTTGAGTTCCTTGCTATAAATTTTATGCATTGTTTCAGTTTTTTGGATTTGATTTGATTGCTGGTGATTATGCAGGCTACAGTGATCGATCCTGCAGATATGGAATCCTTGAAGAATGCTCTTAATGAGAAAAATGTCAGTTAGAGTTTGCGAAAGTTCCTCCTTTTCCTTTCTATGTCCTAAATGCTACTGCTTACTTTGGAAGATATAATTTCCACACAGGTTTCACTTTTCTTCACGGAGTCTCCCACCAACCCTTTCTTGCGGTGTGTTGACATTGCGCTGGTTTCAAAGCTTTGCCATGAGAAAGGAGCATTGGTCTGCATAGATGGTACCTTCGCAACTCCTCTCAATCAAAAGGCCCTTGCCCTTGGTGCAGATCTAATTTTGCACTCTGCAACAAAGTTCATTGGGGGGCATAACGATGTAAGATTTCTGGCAGCACTTAAATCATGAAATAAAACCTTTTTGATCCTCTAGCTATTGTGCTTGTGCTAAAATTGCTGGAACTCGTGTCTTGCTTTCAGGTGCTTGCTGGTTGCATCAGTGGCTCGCTGAAATTAGTTTCAGAAGTTCGCAACTTGCACCATGTTCTGGGTGGAGCTCTTAACCCTGTGAGTTCAATTGATTTGGTCACTTTGCTCTCCTATTATGGACTGGTTTCTCTGAATGAATAATTACAATAATTTTTTCTTCATCTTTTAGAATGCTGCTTACTTGATCATTCGAGGCATGAAGACACTGCATCTTCGTGTACAGCAACAGAATTCTACTGGACAGAGGATGGCCGAACTTTTAGAGACACATCCCAAGGTTTGTATGACACTGCTTCATCATTAATCACTTCTTTGGAGCTTGCCTGTATGATTTGTTGCCGCAATATAGATTTGACTGGTGGTAACTAGATTCTTATTTTGCAATGCTTGATTGTAAATATCATGTATCCACGTCTCATGTGATGTTATATGACAGATAAGTCGTGTTTATTATCCTGGATTGAAGAGTCATCCTGAGCATGACATTGCAAAGCAGCAAATGTCTGGCTTTGGTGGCGTTGTCAGTTTTGAGGTATGATAAACTTTCAAGAACTTTTATGTATTTACTAATATATCATGGATAAATTTTGTTCTCTAATGTCTTATTTACAGTTCTTATCTTTACAAATGCCCTTCTTAATGATGCCAGGTTGATGGAGACTTGGAAACTACCATAAAGTTTGTGGACGCATTGAGAATCCCTTACATTGCGCCATCTTTTGGAGGGTGCGAGAGCATTGTTGATCAGCCTGCTATCATGTCTTACTGGTATGTGAATGAATGCAATGTCATTTTGTAGCTTTCCATGATGTTCTCTTTGTGTCTGTGTTTTGTTGCTATGAATATGATATTATGGTCCCGAGAATTAGGATATTGTCACCTGTATGTACATCAGGGAACTCTAGGAGTTCCTTTATTAATTCATTTAGGAGTTCCTGTATTCTAGTGGCCTATTTTGATGACCCAGAAACATTATGAAAGAGGCAACTCTTCCCGACTTTGAAACTCAAACTGCTTGCTTTTTTATTTTGTCCAATTCCCCGTATATATTGAAAGATCCTCAAAACAAAGGGTAGGCCCTGATCGATGCTACCTCTTGAATAATTATAATTTCTATATGGTAGAACCCTCCAAATTGAGCTTAATCTTATAACTTTTGCTGAAATAAAAAATAGAAGTATATGTCCTTGATGAAATATGAACCGAGTTGTATCAGTGCTTAGCCAGGGCAAACAACTTATCGACCAAGTCAAGATATTCTGTTCACGGTTGTTCATCTTCAATAAATGGATTCTTCCAGTAGTACCACACTACCACTGGATCAAGGCTTATGTGTCCTGGACTATACGGTCTAGGAGTTTGTCTTAGGAACAGAACACTCATCCAAATGAAGATATACAGTACAGGTCTTTACGTTTGATGAAGAACTCTTTCCTCTGGCCCTTAAATGATCCCTTGATTTGCCGTGTTTGTCTCTGTTTAGCTTAGTTTCATGCCTCTTATTGCAGACATTTTAGAAAAGGGTTTGACTGTCATTAAGTGCGTAATCATATGGTTGAATACTTTCATAACTTTATATCAGAAGAAGATCTAATAACTTCTTTGGTATGATTTGCAGGGATCTTCCTCGGGCAGAGAGGGAGAAGTATGGGATTAGAGACAACTTGGTGAGGTTCAGCTTTGGAGTCGAGGACTTTGACGATCTCAAGGATGACGTACTTCAAGCCCTGGAAGCCATATGATCGCGATGACAAGGTTCTTCATCCAGAATGACTTCAACTGTGTTGAAGTTGTTAGCAATATCTGAGAGGGCTTCACAGTACTTTCCTATACCTCTTCTGCTGTGTTCATTTCCCGCGCCCTTGTTGCCATTTATGGATCCATGTTTCATAATCCTCTAATTGTCGCATTTTGTTTCTTCTGCCGTTGGTAGTTGCTTGATGGAAATAAACTGTCATTTCCGTGAAACCTGTGAACACTTTCTCCATCTGGGAATCTGGCTTTTTCCTGCATCTACTCTCTGCATCCTTCCAACAGATTTTTTATTGGTAACTAGGTTGCCTTGGCTTTTTAGTCGCTGAATCCAATTTCATTTATTCAACTTTTTGTGGACAATCAAAACAAACATTGTTTATTTAACTTTTTGTGGAGCTCGCTCTACTAAGGATCATAGTTCGAGCTGAATGAGAAACCACAGGCCACAAACAAGAGTTATTTTGTAGTTTGAGAAGCCAGCCTGGGAGAAGAGTTGGGACCACTGTGGTTCAGTTCTTATGCTACCTTCCAAACAAGCCATCATAACCATGTCAGTGAACAACAGCGTTCCCTCGGAGACCTGATCGTCGCAGCTCTCGTGGTCAAGAACATGATCTGCTATCATCACCTTCCCTGCACCACCACCACCACCACCACGATTGCTCACCGCTTTCTTGCATTGCTTCAATAGCTCCACGCAGGCTTCGTCCTCCAACTCAATCAGCACCCTCTGCAAGCGATCGATCGAGCCAGGTTTGATGAACCAAACATTCACAAAACAACCAACATTCACGCAATAATGATGTGTTAAGTACTATACCATCAAGAGCACGGCATCTGCTGGCGGGATCTCCTTAAACATGTCCCCGCCAACATACCGAAGGTTGGGCTGGGCAGCAGCTTCCAACCCAGCAACCGCATGAGGAAGATCAAACACTGTGATGTCGATGTCGGGAAAGGCAGCAGCGAGGACCTGACCCGTGGTTCCAGTACCACTGTTGCGCCCTACGTCCACAAGCGAGTTCAGCCCCTCGAACACACCTGACCACGATCCACACTTGGCCACCAAAGACGCGGCGAACAGCGAGCTGTCACGCCCCAACCCGTCGTGGTAAAGCCGGCTCAACCAAGGGTCGCCAGCCGCGACTTCATACAGTTTCCTGCCACCATTAGCAAACGCGAAGGGAGCCTGTTGTCGCTCGTCGTTGGTCCGAAACCAAGTGCTCATACTGCGCCAAGGGTCGAGCATGATGGGATGGGAGCCTAGGAGAAGCATTGACCTTCCGCCGAAGGGGTTGTCCTTGAGCAGGAAGCGAGACAGTGGCGTCAACCAGTAGCTGTCGTTGTGTTCGACGAAATAGCCTAGATGGACGAGGACTCGCATGAGGCGGGACATGAATGGAGCTTTGGCGGGGGAGATTTGGAGAGCGGAAATAAGCTGGTGGAGGGTCATGGGACGGCAGTGGTTGTGGATGACGTCGGGGATCTCCAGCTGAACTGCGCACTGAACCGTCATGGTGCTGATGTAGCCATTGGTGTGTGCCCACACGGTGGGCTGATGCTCCGCAAGCTCCAGCGCGCTGCTTGCTGCTGCTGCTGCTGCCGCTGCTGCCGCTTGCATTTCCGCTAGCTAGCTCCTCTCTTGGAGTCCTTTGCTTGTTGTACCTGCTAGTTGATTTAGCTTTTGATATAGCATCGAGTTGTTTGTTTGTTGTCAGGAAAAGTGAGAGTGATTTTGCCCTGGTGAACTAACTAACTTATTACCATAGCTGTTAATATAAGCTGATTGGCTGATAGCGTGTAGGTCACGAAATCTTCGTTGTTGTTGCGTAGTGGATGTGTGGTTAGCGGCCTTTTGTAGTTACTCAAAATTCATAAACTTCAGTATGAGTGGAATCTATGACAAATAAGAAATAAAAGTAACAATTACTTAAAATTTGGTGAATTTCATATATAGTTAATTATTATACTTGTTTACGTTTCTACTGAATCGAAGTATGGAAACCAGTTAGAAAGTCGGTGGAGCGGTGGGGGAGAGATGAGGTGATAGTGGAGGCGAGGAAGAAAAGATTGAGATGAAAAAAAAAAAAACATACGTTTGTTATTTAAAAAATTAAAATTTGTTGTTGTCTGCGAGGTTAGATGAAAATAAATCGAATTGGATAACCAATGACCAATGTAAAAAATATTTAAAATGAACAACTAGTAAGAAATTAATATTTTTTGAATAACAACAAAATTAATTAACGAGTGATCAAATATATAGTTTAGTTGAGGGCAAAAATAAATTGAACGACATCAAAGGGTAAGAAATGGTCCATGAAACCGTATCGTACCGATGGTTCAACCCCGAAATACCGATATCGGAGGCTAAATAGGTAGGCGGTATTTTAACGATACTAACGGTTGAACTACGGTTAAACCATGATTTTATCATAAAATACCATACCACTGACTCTTCCGATACGATCTCCGGGTATTGTTTCATGGAATGTAACAAACTATAGATAGGAGGATGTGGAACGCGAGGTCCTTTTTGCGGCTCCCCACAGGTTAGGAAATCCTGCAATCCTGTGGGTTCGTGGGCTTCCTGACCCAATCTGGGTTTAGTCCCAAAAGCCCAATACAATGAATCTCGCCGAAGACTTGAATACTACCGAGGCCTGAGAGCAGTCTGAGCAGTGAGAGAGGGTACGAGTAGCATTTGCATGGGGCAGTGTAGCCGCCTGTTTCCCACTTTACCACCCAAACCACAAAGAAGCAGCGGGCGCGCCCGACCCGACAAACAACCCCTGCCCCCAAAAGCAGAGAGCAGAGCAAACCCATGGGTTTTCGGATGAGAGCTTCCCCTTGTTTCAACTGCCAACCACCATTTCCCTCCCTCCACGCTTATATAAAGGAGAAGCCAGCCCTCTCTAATTCCATCATCATCTTCGCTCACTACTACTCTTCATTGAAGACCAGTCTTCTGTTTTCTCGAGAAAAAGAAGGAAGGAAGGAAAGAAAGAGAGATTCAGTTAGCAGCAGAGTATTTTTTTTATTCAATCAGGATCCATGGAAGGAGTTCAGGCATGGGTTTCCAAGCACAAGCTCGGCACAATTGGTAAACTACTCGTATAGCAATCATCGTTATCTATCCACTTCAGTTGGGTGAAATGGTCAAAAACTGGACTGTGGATATGCAGGAGGAATATGGGCAGCAGCAGTTGGAGGCTCATTCGCTGTCAACAATCGGTCGTCTACTCCGGCTCTCAAGCCCAGTCTTAGGCTCATCCACGCCAGGTGAGCTAGCTAGCTAGCTTGGTCCATCCATCCTTGTCGATTCATGCATTTTAATTACCATCCCTTGATTGAGTAATTAATTACTTGAAAGTGGTGAATTCATGAATAATTACTACTTACTGCTGCAGGATGCACGCACAGGCCGTAACATTGGCAGTGCTTTCTGGAGCAGCAATCTACCATCACTTTCATGATCAAAATTAGGAAGCCACCGTCGATTCATTGGCGGGTTAAACTGGATGATGACGACAATTGGATAGGAGGGCTTAGAGTTATAGAATCTTTGCTCTTCTGTATTTCTTTCCAGCACTGCTCACGCTATGTTCTTGTGTGACGGTACACCTTCTTTCAATAACAACAATGGAGCCTAATGTTTCTTTCTTCCACGACCTTGTCACTTTGTCTCCATTTCAATATGTTCATATCAAACATAGTTATCAAATGGAGGAAGCAAACTTATAATCCCTACTTGAGATGTCAAAATTTCCACTGGTTTTTTCTCATTAGAGATATGAACTGGTTTATATGGTACATGATCATTTGCTGCGTAAGTATTAGGACAAATGTACAGCTACCTATAGAGTACACATCCTCAACAATTAAGATGATCAGAAGATAAACTTTACAAGCAAAAAGAGTGATAACTAATCCCCATCCCATCTATCACTCAAATCAATTCGGCTAAGGGGCAGAATCCCCTCTGCCTCTGCACCCACCAAACCTCACTTCACCATGTGCGTTCGGAGGCCAAAGGGGCAGGCTTTCAATTGCACTCAAAACTGCATGTAAATATGCCAATAAAGAGTTTATGGACGGTGGTTAAACCATATGTAACAGTAACTTCGGGACTATGTGCAGCTAGCTAGCTTCCTGCAATGCTGCATAATACACGGGGAAAGCTATATAACAAACCCTAGAGAAGCTTCTTCCTCTCAAAGTAATTCCTGATGTTGATATGACTTGAATCGGATTATCAGCCGCTACGACTGGTAACCGGGGGTCTCGCTGACCGGTCAGCGAGTGGGGTCCAGGGGCAACGCCCCGGTGGGGGTGCGGGGGCAACGCCCCCGGCCCACGGTGTATGGGCTCAATGTTATTTGGGTTCGGGTTCTGGGCCTGGTCTGTAACCGTTTCCTTTGCTAGATTGGATTAGGTTTAGACCCACATGGAGAAGTACTATAAATACTTCTCATACTCCTCTGTAATCTGTAATCTCCTCAGATATAGTGAAACTGGCTCTCTCTCGCCCGTGGACTAGCTAACACACATCGTGTTAGTGAACCACGTAAATCGTGTGTCTGTGTCTTTCGATTCTCGCTCTCGTATTCTTGCTTTGTCGATTCCGGCGATTTCCCGATCCGTAGCAGCGCGTTTATAACAAGTGGTATCAGAGCCGCGGCTGGAAATCAGGCTAGGTTTTCGATTCAGAAGAATGACGTCGGTGAACATGAAGATCGAAAAGTTCACGGGGAAGAACAGCTTCGCTATATGGCAGATCAAGATGCAGGCTTTACTAAAACAGCAAGGGCTGTGGGGGCCGCTGTCTGCGAAACAGAAGAAGGCAGCGGTCGATGACGATGAGTGGAATACCCTGGAGGAGAAGGCCCACTCGACCATCATGCTATCGTTGTCTGATGACGTCATCATCGAAGTCGCTGCTGAGAAGACTGCCGCGGGCTTGTGGTTGAAACTAGAGAGTCTGTACATGACTAAGTCTCTAACCAACAAGCTGCATCTCAAGCAACGTTTGTTCAGCTTGAGGATGCAAGAAGGTACGCCTTTGAGGGAACATCTCGAACAACTTAACTCTATTTTGCTGGATTTGCGTAATATAGATGTTCAAGTTGATGACGAGGATGCTGCCCTAATCCTGCTGGTTTCTTTGCCGAGTTCATATGAGAATTTCGTTGATTCTTTTATTGCTGGTAAAGAAAGCGTGTCGTTGGAGGATGTCAGGTCTGCTCTTCATACGAGAGAGATCAGGCATAAGGCGTCCGAATCTGGTACAGGTGGTGAGGCATCGGGTTTGGCTGTTACAGGTGGAAAGGGAAAGAAGAAATCTGGTAAAGGGAATTCGAGCAAGAATTCCAAGGGTCCCGGTCCACAGCCAGGTGATGCTTGTCACAACTGTAAGGAAGTGGGGCATTGGAAGTACAACTGTCCCAAGAGAAGAGGGCAACAGAAGAAACAAGGTTCAGTTGCCGTGGCAGAAGTGGACAACAGTTCTGAAGACGATCTCGCCTTGGCTGTAGATGAGAAGGCACATCGTGGTGATGTGTGGTTTCTGGATACTGCAGCCTCATATCATATGTCTCCGAACAGGGATTGCTTCACAACCTACGAGCAGATAGATGGTGGTAACGTGGTCATGGCAAATGGAGCTGTCTGCAAGGTTGTTGGAATCGGGTCCATAAAGGTTCGGACACATGATGGTTCGTTCTGTACCGTGAATGATGTCAGACATGTTCCACGAATGACGAAGAACCTGATCTCCTTGAGTCTACTCGACAGCAAGGGTTTCAGTTTCAAAGGAAAAGGTGGAGTTGTGTATGTCTGCAAGGGTTCGAGGAAGGTACTGAAGGGCGTGAAGCGTGGGACCTTGTATGCATTACAAGGGTCTGTGTTGTCTGGTTCTGCTGCAGTTGCATCATCTCAGGTTCAACAGGAAGATATGACCACTCTCTGGCACATGAGACTGGGGCATATGAGTGAACGGGGGATGCAAGTTCTATCGAAGAGGGATCTTCTTTGCGGGCACAAGGTGCAGAATTTGGAATTCTGTGAGCATTGTGTGTTTGGGAAGCTACATCGCAGCAAGTTTCCCAAGAAGGGTATCCACCGGACGAAGGGGATACTAGATTACCTCCACTCTGACTGTTGGGGTCCTTCACGAGTTGAATCCATTGGAGGCAGCAGGTATTTTCTGTCTATTATTGATGATTATTCGAGATTTACTTGGATTTTCATGATGAAGCAGAAAAGTGAAGCTTTCACGAAGTTCAAGCAGTGGAAGACATTGGTGGAGAATCAGACCGGGAAGAAGATCAAGAAGCTGCGAACGGACAATGGTCTGGAGTTTTGCAGTTCTGAGTTCAACGAATTCTGCAAAGATGAAGGGATTGCCCGTCATCGGACTGTGAGAGATACACCCCAGCAGAATGGCGTTGCAGAAAGAATGAACCAGACATTGTTGGAGAGAGCACGGTGCATGCTCTCTAATGCTGGACTAGAGAGAAGATTCTGGGCAGAAGCAGTGAACATGGCGTGCTTCCTGATCAACCGTGGACCTCACACAGGTATCGAGTGTAAGACTCCTTATGAAGTGTGGTATGGTAAGCCTGCTGATTACTCTTCACTGAAAGTTTTTGGGTGTCCTGTTTATTATCATGTGGATGAGGGTAAACTGAACCCAAGGGCAAAGAAGGGTGTATTTGTGGGTTACGGAGATGGAGTTAAGGGATTTCGAGTCTGGTCACCTTCTGAGCATCGAGTTATACTTAGTAACATGGCGTGCTTCCTGATCAACCGTGGACCTCACACAGGTATCGAGTGTAAGACTCCTTATGAAGTGTGGTATGGTAAGCCTGCTGATTACTCTTCACTGAAAGTTTTTGGGTGTCCTGTTTATTATCATGTGGATGAGGGTAAACTGAACCCAAGGGCAAAGAAGGGTGTATTTGTGGGTTACGGAGATGGAGTTAAGGGATTTCGAGTCTGGTCACCTTCTGAGCATCGAGTTATACTTAGTAGAAATGTGATATTTGATGAGAAGTCTATGTTTAACCCCATGTTGAAGGTCACTGTTGTTGAAGGTAGCAGGAATGTTGATAAGCAGGTGGAGCTGCAAACTCTCAATGAGAGTGAGTTTGAGCACCAAGGTGGAGAAGATCAACATGATGAGGATGTCTCTGCAGAGCTAGAAATTTCAGAGTCCAGTGCACGAGCTCAACAGTCTATTACTTCCGGTAGACCGAAGAGAGCGACTGCAGGAGTACCTCCACAGAGGTATGGCTTCGAGGACATGGTGGCATATTCATTTCAGGTTGCTGAAGAAGTGGATGCAGGAGAGCCACAGTCCTATAGAGAAGCAGTTTCGGGCGGTGAAGCTGATCAGTGGCTTGCCGCAATGGGAGATGAGATGGAATCCCATGACAGGAATCAGACTTGGGAGCTAGTCAAACGACCACAGGGAAGGAAGATTGTGACAAACAAGTGGATCTACAAGAAGAAGGAAGGAATCACTTCTAAAGAGGGCATGAAATTTAAAGCTCGGGTGGTTGCACGAGGCTTCTCGCAGAGGGAAGGAGTTGACTACAATGAGATTTTCTCACCAGTGGTCAGACATACTTCGATCAGAGTGCTACTAGCAATAGTGGCACATTATGACTTGGAGCTCGAGCAGCTAGACGTGAAGACAGCTTTCCTACATGGAGAGTTGGAGGAAGAAATTTACATGACTCAGCCAGAAGGATTCGAGGTTCCGGGAAAAGAAGACTATGTTTGTAAGCTGAAGAAGTCCTTGTATGGACTTAAGCAATCTCCGAGGCAGTGGTACAAGAGATTTGACAGTTACATGCTTGAGCTGGGCTACAGCAGAAGTCCATATGATTGTTGTGTATATCACAGCAAGGCAGAGGATGGTTCGATGATATATCTAGTTCTGTATGTGGATGATATGCTCATAGCTGCGAGGTCAAAGTCTGATATCCAGAAGTTAAAGGGGCTTCTCAGTGCTGAGTTTGAGATGAAGGATTTGGGAGCTGCTCAGAAGATTTTGGGTATGGAGATTTACAGGGACAGGTCGAAGAAGAAGCTTTTCTTGTCACAGAAGAGCTACATCCAGAAGATATTGTCGAGGTTTGGCATGTCTTCAGCAAAGCCCTTAAATACTCCTAGTGCTTCAAATGTTCATCTATCCTCAGCTTATGCACCGCAGTCAGAGGCTGAGAAGGAGTACATGTCGAGAGTCCCATATGCTAGTGCAGTAGGTAGCTTGATGTACGCTATGGTATGCACTAGACCTGATCTTGCACATGCTGTTAGTGTTGTCAGCAGGTTTATGATACAACCTGGGAAGGAGCATTGGCAGGCTGTGAAGAGGATCTTCCGGTACCTTAAGGGTACACCTGATGTGGGGATTAGCTTCGGAAGTGATACAGAGTGCTTGGTGTCTGGGTATTCTGACTCGGACTATGCTGGAGATGTTGACACGAGGAGATCGATGACTGGTTATGTATTCACTCTTGGGAGTTCTGTAGTGAGCTGGAAGGCAACTTTGCAGTCGGCGGTGACATTGTCTACTACTGAGGCAGAGTATATGGCGTTGACAGAAGCTGCTAAGGAGGGAATATGGTTGAAGGGACTGGTTGGTGATCTTGGTCTACATCATGATCAGGCAGTGGTGTATTGCGACAGTTTGAGTGCAATATGCTTGGCCAAGGATCAAGTCCACCATGAGAGGACTAAGCACATCGATGTGAGGTATCATTTCTTGAGGACAGAGAAGAGGATTAAGGTGAAGAAGGTTGGCACCGCGGATAATCCTGCTGATATGTTCACGAAGCCGGTTCCACATGGCAAGTTCCAACACTGCTTGGACTTGCTGAATGTCTTGAGTGGGTGACTCCGCCCTACGGGGCATTGATGGCGGGAGAGAGAGAAGGAGCAGAGTACATCAGAGATTTCAGAGGAAGAGGATTCAAGTCAAGGTGGAGATTTGTTGATATGACTTGAATCGGATTATCAGCCGCTACGACTGGTAACCGGGGGTCTCGCTGACCGGTCAGCGAGTGGGGTCCAGGGGCAACGCCCCGGTGGGGGTGCGGGGGCAACGCCCCCGGCCCACGGTGTATGGGCTCAATGTTATTTGGGTTCGGGTTCTGGGCCTGGTCTGTAACCGTTTCCTTTGCTAGATTGGATTAGGTTTAGACCCACATGGAGAAGTACTATAAATACTTCTCATACTCCTCTGTAATCTGTAATCTCCTCAGATATAGTGAAACTGGCTCTCTCTCGCCCGTGGACTAGCTAACACACATCGTGTTAGTGAACCACGTAAATCGTGTGTCTGTGTCTTTCGATTCTCGCTCTCGTATTCTTGCTTTGTCGATTCCGGCGATTTCCCGATCCGTAGCAGCGCGTTTATAACACCTGAGATGCCACGACTGCAAACCGGCCACAGATACACAGACCACGAGAGATAAGAAACCCATGATAGCCATTTCCGAGTTGGTCGACAGGTTCAGTTCTTGCATTTCCTCTTCTCTATCGCGGAGGTAGTACATTTCTGCATGAACATTTCTTACTGTAACCGACAGCTTCCTCAACTCAATCTCCATAGCCTACCACACCAAGAAAAAACACCAAAACAGAGGTCATTCATTCATTCATTCATCCATCATCCGTTAATTAACAAAGCAGCAGCAACAACAATGCAATCATGTCCAAATTCGGGCCACATATATGAATTGAGGTAGAGTAATGATTACTTCAATGTTGCCTTTCTTGGCGACATTAGACCAATCTCTAGCTTCAACGCCGGATCTCCAATCGAATTCAACGATGGTGGTGAGTGGCGGTTTGTGCAGAGGTGACCAAAAGCATGCAGAGTAGGGTCCATTTTCTGATGCTGTGAAAGCAAAAGTACCCTTCTCCACCTTATCCCCGTAATGGTAACTTACCCCATGGGGTGATGTTACCTGCAACCCAAAAAACAGTACATACAAACGTTCATACTTGACCCTTTCTTAAGAATTTACAGTTCTCAAAACGAAAGTAGTTCTCGACATGGTATCAAACAATGTTTATGAATGACATGTATTAATAACGTAGATATACAAACACAAAATGTATATAATGCATAGGGAAGAAGATAAAAGAAAAGTTACCCTGACAGTGACGTTGGGATCACCTTTGATAGGGTCAACAATGCTATAAGATCCCACGGACATGGTGTCGGCCTTGACGTCCTCAGATATGCATTTGGTCTCCCCTGAGTGCATGTCGAACCGCATTGATTCTGCCATCTTTGAACCCGATTCGAATATTAACATGATTACGATCAACCAACAGCTCCATCTCCACATCGTTATGTATGCCACCATTCCAGAGAGATATATATCTTCGAACAGAGAATATAGTAATTCAAAAGACGCTTTCTAACCAGGATTCCCCTGTTTCAGGGGGTTTTTTACACAAGAATTAGGAGATGTTTGTCGGGTGGTGGGTTGCCTGAAAGGTAGAGAGAGTCTGGATGATACGAAAGGGAAAAATGAATTATTGAGATTAACCAATCGTTTTGTCCTCCCTTTGATATTTCAGGGATTTCCAATTTAGCAGGCTTAGAAAGAGGTCTCATAGTTTTCAACTCCTAATTTTTCCATCATTTAAACAATTTTCCCTTCTCAAAATAATTGGTAAAAAAGGAAAAACATTATTTTTTTAAATACACATTTTTTTCTTGATCGAAATCACATTTGACCTGAGTATATCATGAACCATTCAAAGATCTTGTAACAGGAGAAAGGATTCATCACTCCTAGAAGTGAATAAGTGATTCCATTGAGTCTCTTGATAAGTTTGTCAATACAATGCACATTTGTACTCAAATGAGTTGATATATAATATCAATGACATTACGATACCTTAATCAAGGTCAATAAAGTAGATTGAAATCGGACAAGTATTACATGTTCCACTGTTCGTGCTCAATTATGATATTTGAGATGTAGAGACTCCCATGTATTGCTAATTACAACAATAAAGGTGGTCGAATACTAAACCTCTCTTTATCGTACTGTCAAGTGTTTGTTGATGTCATCCAGAATCGAAATAAGGTTGGGCCCTGGAAAGTGAGAGCATGAATTCAATGAACGAGATAGATTCTCCAATCGAATGATGGGTTACAAACTGATTATATTCCAAGTTTGGCTAACAAGAGAGCAACTTGGGTTGCTAAGGAAGTGACAAATGGATCTCTCTCTCAATATTGGATCATAGTGCTTAATATTGTTCATCAACTGTTGTAATTTTGTTAGGTTTGTACTCCACTCCTTGAAATGAATGGAATTCATTTGTTGTAAGAGAAAGTAATGCTAGAGGCCACTTCATATTAATGACATTTTGGTTCCGTTCAAAGACATTCGATAAAATTAGAACGATACAGAGAAGATATTTTTGACCTTTTGGCAACGTGATAAAATATAGTGGGCTCACTAAGAAACTTTGTTTGAGAAATGTACAAATGCTAGAGGCCATTTGATGTTCAATTTAGGAATCCTTGTTTGATTATGATTCCTAATATTCTACAAGTTGTAATTTAAAGTAAAATTTGTCCTTAGCAAGGAACCCTAACCTGATTTAATAGGATTAGTATTCAATGTGATTAGAATTTCAATAGGGATACTAATAAGATATAGTTTTATAGTTGGACTAGCAAAACTTAATTTCATTGAAATCCTAGTGTGATTAGGAAACCCAGATGGATTAGATTAAAATATAGGAAAGGAGTGAAAAGGTACTTGTAGGAGAGAATAATAAAGTTTGGAGCATTTAATGCAAATTGTACCCTATTGCTAGGTTATGGTTTAGGTAGTCTATAATTCTCTATCACTCAAAACTATCCTCTTGGGGAATTCATATACAAGAAATGAGTTTTACACGTTGTACGAGATATGAATCGCCATATAGATTACTAAGGAAGTCTAATACACATTCCTTGTAAATATAGAGCCCTAGACTTGAGGTTACCAAAAGGAACCATAATGACTAACTGTGCATTTTGATACTTTGCTTCGTCGCTTTCGGCTAGGTGAATGATGATGAGGTGAACAAAATCATGAATTAATACACATATCAATCTCATTTTCTTATGATAAACTACTCTAACCAAACCCTAGCAAGTGGTTGCAATGGTTCCCAAAAAAGGGAAGGAAAATGAAAGCCAAAGGAAGGGGGAAATGGAAGAAGAAGAAAACAATGCAGCTCATAGAAATAGATAATCGGCACCATATATTAATTTAAAAACTAAGGTAGACTATTTTCTTACTTTGTTTTCCCACTCTAAAGTTCAACTCTCTTCTACTACTACACAGAAGTAGTAGCTTGTTGCTAGCTTGTAACACTACTACTCACATCCCATTGGAGAAAAATGGTGTGTGGCAGAAAAAGAAGAAAAAAATAGCAAAATCAATTACTTGGGAAGGTTTGACTAAGGAACGAATCCTTATATTAAAAGGATTATAAGGAAGGCAATGCTTCCTCTCATGCTCCATTTTTTTTCTTGATAGTTATACAAAATTTCCTTCTTTTACTATTTCATTTTTTCCTTTGTCCCGGGAAACCAATATTTCAGAGTTGATAATCAAACCGGGCCCAGATACACAAATGGAGCTTCCTCCTACAAATGGGGACTATCAAGCTCTTGCTTCAACCCCAAGCAAAATCAGAGCATTCTTTTTGGCTTCCAGGTGTTCCAAGTCATTGAAGTTTCTGAAATTTCCATATGGGTCCCTTTCCTTTGCATCATATTTCTGCAAAATCCACCATTTTCATTTACTCTTCGACCTTATATGTTCATCTATGCCATGAATCTGTATGTATACCATTCGACTATTTACCTCTATCCAACCTTGACCTTTGAGCTGCTCTGCGTATTTGATTCTCGTTCTTCCGTAATAGCTCCCCAATCTGGTTCGACTGCGCGACTTTGTTTGATTGAGACAACAATGGTCCCGAGAACTGTACCGTGTTCGATTGATGAACGGGATCATGCTACATCAAGCAAGAACATATAACAAAGTCATTTCTAACTTCAACATCACATAACCATAATGTGTTCCACATCAGTGTTAGAGAATCAAGCTCGCTCAACGTACTCTGGCGTGGCTTAGAGGTATGTCTTCTGCAATCACATATGACAAAAACGCTTTGAGCGAATCCGGTGGTGGTGCATCAAATTGGTTCTGATGCTGCTGTGATATCGTGTGTTGCTTCTTGTTGTGACAATCTTGTTGTGATTGTCCGTCGACATCCCTTGCTCTACGTTCTGCATTCAAGTTTGGGAACTTGAATGGGGCATCTAGTCCACTAACTTGGCTCCCATTGGTGTCGTAAGACAAGGTTGACAAGAGGTCGTCTCTTCGCTTTCTTGTCGTCCAAGCAAACCCGCTCGAGGCAGAGATGGCTGGTGCTGGACCGGTGTAAGCCTGATGCTGATGTTGTCGTTGTTGTTGTTCTCCTTTCTGCAACCGAGTTGGTACCACGGTTGTGTTTGACTCCATGCTCAGCTCTCTACGTAGCCCGATCCCTCCTCCTCTTCGTTGGCCTACGTGTGGATGATTCACGTTCACCTTGGTAAAGGATGGCTGGTTGTTGTTCTCCTTCACTTCCTCTTTCAGGATGAACTTGCTGAGGCTGCCTCCCCTGTGATGAGTTGCTTTTGGCCTCTTTAGTACTGATTCTCGTGGCTTCAAACTACTCTTCTTCCTGCACAAAGGAGAAAAGAAAGAATATGATTCAGTAACTAAAAGATAAGTTATTCTAGCAACCTGATAATGAAGTCAATTAAATTGGATCTAGACCCATTTTTAGTGAGTTACGTGGAGTGAAATTTGTCCCAACTCGGCGTTAAATCAATCTAAAATAGCTCTTACCTTCTTCTGTCCTCCCTATACTTGGCATCCATTTCCTTGTTAGGTGGGTATTTTGGCAAGGTTGATGGATCACATGCATATGGTTCCGAGTTAATGAACTGCATAACAAGACAACCAAAATCAATCAAACTAAATTGAACTAAACCACAGTAAATACACACAACATATACGAGTAGTACCATAGACATAAGTGCAGAGGAAGCAGAACCACGCTTCTCAGGGTCAATAGAGATCAAGCACTCCAACAAATCCACTGCTGCAGGTGGGAAATCCTTACACCTCTCCCTCAATGAGCTCTCATATGGATGTTGCGGTCTAAACATAGTGGCATTTGGTAGATAATGATACTGCTTCCAGAACTCATCCGGAGGCGACCCACAAAGTTTGAAGATCTTATGCAATTGTTCCACCTCCGTCCTCCCCTTTAGCAATGGCTTGCCAGTCAAAAGCTCGGCAAACACACACCCCACGCTCCACAGGTCCACCGATACGTTGTAGCTTGTGGAGCCCAACAAAAGCTCCGGCGGACGATACCTATTAGAGTATGAGAAGCATGAGTCACAGAAATGTAATAAATTTCTTAACCAATCCATGAATTCAACAACAGTTTTCTTAACATTCAAATCCATTTCATCCATAACCAATACATTGTGATTTAGCGGTCCAAGGTTGATGGTGTTTTTGTAAAATTATTATTTTATTCACATTCAAAAACTAAGCTTTGATTTCTTACCAATATATATATTTTTTGCTTTAGAATCAATCACGTTCGATAACTAAAGTTGATAGTCTAGCAATTTAATCCCTAAACTTGTAAAATTTTACAAACTGGTCACAACATTATATCCACCTTTCATTCTGCCAATTTAGTGATTGGATAACTCCTCATGAACCCAGGAAACAATATGAACGCAACTCATAAGTCCACTAAACAACAGGAATAAACTATGCTACTATGTATAGTAATCTGTACCATAGCGTAACAACGCGGCTGGTGAGCCTCTGCTTCCCGCCGGAAGCGGCAAGGACGTTGGCCAGGCCGAAATCGGCGAGCTTGAGGATGCCGTTGTTGTTGACGAGGATGTTGGACATCTTGATGTCTCTGTGCATCACGCCGCGGAGGTGGCAGTGCTCGACTGCGCGGAGGAGTTGCTTCATGTAGCACTTGATTTGGGGCTCGGTGAGGTTGATTTCAGGGGAAGAGGACAGGCCGGCGAGGTCGTGTTCCATGTACTCGAAGACGAGGTAGATGGAGCTGGAGAGGCGGGAGGTGATGATGCCGTCGAGCTTGATGATGTTTGGGTGGTCGAGGCGGCGAAGGATCAGGATTTCTCGGGCCATGAATCTGATGCTCTCCGGTTGGTAGTTGTCGAATCGGACCTTCTTCAGGGCCACCATTCTTCCCGTCTCCACTTCTCGTGCTTTGAATACGCTGCTGTACGTTCCTTGCCCAATCTGAAAAATTATACATTCATTGTTATCACATCATATTTGCACAATCTGTTCTTGATTCGGGAAAATTGATGCTTGATA